TCTTTATGAACCGTCCTGAGGTCACCTTGCAATAAAAAATCTGCAGGAGCCGGTGAGTGCCTGCTAATTCTGTGCTTGGATCTCAAGGTCATGCCAATCAGGCCCATTATGAATTCCCTGTACTCCTCCTCTTTTTGTTCTGGCTGTCCACTTCCTACCCTAAGCAACCTAAATTATATTGCATACTTTTCTATGTTGCTTTCTCTTCCATGCAGGCATTTATCTTGGTTGGGGTTATAACCCACCCATCCCATCTCTGTGTGTCAAATTTCATCTATCCAATGGAATCCAGGACAAAAGCTTCATAAAACCACAGACAGAAGCCATCATTTCTTTTTCTAAGACCTTTTTACATCATATAATTTCCTTTATTTTTATTTATTTATATACTTATATAATTTTTTTTTTTTTTGAAATGGAGCCTTGCTCTGTCGCCAGACTGGAATGCAGTGGCACAATCTCGGCTCACTGCAACCTCCGCCTGCTGGGTTCAAGCAATTCTTCCGCTTCAGCCTCCCGAGTAGCTGGGACCACAGGCGCGTGCCACCACACCAGGCTAATTTTTGTATTTTTAGTGAAGATGGTGTTTCACCATGTTGGCCAAGATAGTTTCGATCTCTTGATCTTGTGATCTGCCCGCCTCAGCCTCCAAAGTGCTGGGATTACAAACATGAGCCACCATGCCCAGCCTATATAATGTATTTTTAAAATTCATCAGCTTCTTAAAGGTAGGAGCTCCATAGAATGTGGCTCAAGATCTTGAAATTGGAAAGTGTGAAATAAAAACTTGCTGAATAAATGAATGCATAATCACACTTGTTCTCTTTTACAATCACATAAAGTTTTAAAAGATCAGTTGAGACAAGTATATCTATCTAACTATAACCATAATTATAGATATAAATATAGATACCAATCCTTTCAACATTAAGAATTAAAAATAAAGACCCAGAAAGTCTGGCATTATGGCATGACCTTCCAGATTCACATATTCAAGGAAGAAATAGTGCAACGGTTCACACTACAGCAGTTACCAAAATATGCCATAGTTGGAAGTAGGGTCGCGATATTACATTTTACACAGAACGCTTTTTCTATAGAATTAAAAGAGGTCTATTTGTGCTCTTGTTTTAGGATTCTCTAACACACTCAAAAAATGGTTCTTGCAATATTAGTCTTTTGATATATTCTGTGAACAAAAGATACTGTGTTCAAATACGTTTGAGAAACGATGCAAATTATGCCTTCATCTTAGAAATTTACAATATAAAGTGGTATATTAAAGATTTCCAAAAATTAGATAGCTTTTAGAAAGATTGTTTAACCTTGTTTTACATTGTCTCTCAAGTATGATTGTCCTTGGGATGGTCTGTTTCATAATAATATACATATTCCAAGGAAAGAGTCTTCCTTGGAATTTTTAAAATTTCTTTATATTTATATAAAATACTTACATTTATATTTAAAATATTGCTTCAAAACCCAAAAGATCTGTTTTAATGTCACCTTGAGGGTGAAGTATTTATAATACTTTATTTTTTGTTTATAAATGATCAAGGTGCTGTGACATGAGTCACAAGGCACAGGTAAGAGGTAGCTTTGTCCACTGTTTGTACCTGTGTATATGTGATATGGTTTGGCTGTGTCCCCGCCCAAATCTCATTTTCAATTGCAATCCCCATGTGTTGGGGAAGCAACTGGTGGGAGGTGGGAGGTGATTGGATCATGGGTTTCATTTTCCCCATACTGTTCTCATGATAGTGAGTTCTCATGAGATTTGATGCTTTAAAAGTGTGTGACAGTTCCCCCTTGCTCGCTCTCTCCTGTCACCAGGTGAGACATACCTTGCTTCCTCTTTACCTTCTGCCATGATTGTAAGTTTCCTGAGGCCTCCCCAGCCATGAAGAACCGTGAGTCAATTAACCCTGTTATCTTTATACATTACTCAGTCTCAAGTAGTTCTTTACAGCAGTGTAAGAATGGACTACTACAATATGGAACACAGGTAATAGGAGGATGGGAGTATGAAAGTGTTCCCTTGCACTTTAGCTGTTAGCAGAAGTGGAAGCAGAGTCCAAATATGCATTTATTAGATTTCAAAATCCATTTCTGCTGCAGGATTATTTTCCTTGATCGTATTTGATTCATACTCCAATTCTCTCTTGAAAAACTGCTCTGGTTCATATATACTCCACTTATTTTTTGTGATGATTTACAATTCTAAGTCTTCCAAACATATTTATTATAAATTACATAACTGCATTTCCATAATGTTGTATAACACATTTTGCTGCCTCACCTCATATCCTGTAGAAGTACATTAAATCAACAACATGATTATGGCTTAAATTTGTTGGTGTTCTAGTTACAACATTTAGTTCCAAATGCCAAACAATAACCAAATGTGTGATAACATTTACAATATAAATTTAAGTGGTTTAAATTTATGTGTCATGTTTTGAGTGGTGCCACATAATTAGAATATAATCCAGTATGCAATAAAATTTTGCTGAAAAAAATAAATGCATAAATCATTCTTGTTCTCTTTTACATACATACAGGTATTGATAGACTTAAGACCTATGCAACTTACGAACATTCGACTTTAAGACCACAATCGCTAGCCACGACTGCTCCACGTCTGGCAGTGCAAAAGTTGCCCAGCTGGGTGTACGACAGTGCGGACCGGCTTCTGGCAGCACTACCATCTCCGCGTGCATATAGCCTACTCAACTTACAACCAAATCGTGTTACGACTGGTCTGTCAGAACCAATCATGGTCGTAAGTCGAGCACTAGCTGTATAGAGGTATAATTTTTAGGAATAGCCATAGCAATATATCAATATATTTATATATCCATGTTTTCCTATATCTTGATATGTTTATAAACTGAATAATCCGTACTTACAAAATGTGATTGTCATAAGATTAGTAACTAAAATGAAAAATTAAGGGTTCTCTTGTAATAAATTTTGAAAGTGCTTTACTAGTAAAACCATCTTTCTACATAGCCATCCCCAAAATTCTAATGCAACAAAACAGCAAGAATAATCTAAGATCTGGAATACCATAATGCTGGTGCTATGGTTTGGATGTGCTGTGTCCTCACAAAAACTCATATTAAAATTTGGTCCCCAGTGTGGCAGGGTTGGGGGGTGGGGGCCTAATGAAAGGTGTCTGGGTCATGGGGGTAGATCCCTCATAAATAGGTTAATACCCTGCTATGGAGTTGAGTTAGTTCTCACTCCTCTTACTTTCTCTTTCTTGTTTCCTTCCTCACCATGTAATCTCTGTGCACATACCTGCTCTCCTGCTTTGTGCTATGAGTTGAAGCAGCTTGAGGCTCTCAACAGATGCGGCTGCCCAATCTTGGACTTTCCAGCCATCAGCATCATGAGCTAAGCAAACCTTATTTCTTTGTAAATTACCCAGCTTCAGGTATTCTGTTATAGCTACAAAAATGGACTAAAACAGATGTATACAAATATTTTGTGAAAGTAAGAAAGAAGGCTTGGCCTGGAATGGTATCCAAATGAATTTATACAACAAATGTCAAATGTCTGAACATGAAATACTCCTACATCTTTGGAGAAGAGTGGCCAAATGAAACTTCTTTAGGTGTAAAGCCCTGTCTTTACCACTAGCTTAGTAAATATTTCAAATCCATGGAAAAGAAGGCTCAGTAACTCTAAGGATCTTGAAAGAAAACGTCAAAAGTTTGCAGAACTTTCTGGAAAAAGATAAATATTCAGGCTCACATTTGGATTCTTAAATTTAGGATCACTGCCAAAATCAAAAAGCTAAATGGAGAATATTTCCTAACCCATCTTTCCATTAATGAAAGGTATTAATTAAGCAAACACTTCTCCTTTTCAAAGCAGCTATTGGCTCAAAAAGAAAAAAATGCAACATCCTCTTCTTATAACGCTTCTCATGGTCAGGGTAGACCATGAAAATATTAGTAGACTGAAATTTGAAAAAAATAGAACAGGCTTCATAAGGAAGTCTGTTTATTCAAAGCCATTGAGAGTATGTGTAAGAGTTCCCCTTCAAAGGAAAAAGGAAACAATAGTATAGAATGAAGGGATGGTAATCTGCTAGATAGAGCTGTTAGCTGGTTGCGTAACTCTCCCCGTAGCTGAACAAACGAAAATAGCAAATCTAACAAAGAATGTGATCATATGAAAAACAATAGAAATTATCCAGATATACTCTCTATATTCCTCCGATAGGTATTAAGGGCTTTTAGGCAGAAAGTATAAAATACAAAACTATTAGTCCGTGTACTGTGATATTAAAGTGAAGACAAAGGGGTTTTGTTTCCCCATTAAATATCTTCCAGAAGAGCCAAATCTCAGAGTTCACAGTTCTGTTATTTCTCAGAGAGACATTAGGTAGCCATAGGCTTCATCTAAATGAAATTGCCAATATTCTAGATCTTTGCAATTAAATCATTTCTGTATTTACTTTGTTTTAAATTAATGGGACAAACATTAGCACTTTTCAGCTACTGACTCACTGTCAATACTAGAGGCACTTTTCATTGTACGACCCAATACAACAGGCAGGATTAGACCATGCCTCTTCTAAGTTTCCTCTAAACAAAGATACCTTGTTTTCAGGTACATGATGAAACTCACATGAAGGTAGAACAGGGTTTGGTATAGGGCTGCTGTTAATGACGGCATGCAGGTTTTCCTAGTTGGTAAAGTATAACTGCATAGTTTTAATAATCCTATAATTAATAGGAAGGTATATATTTTAAAACTGCAAACTCTATGAATGAATGAAATAGATACCATCTTATTTACAGGACCCCTTAGTATTATGACAATAACCTATAGCTGGTTAAGACTTTGCTACAACATGTCCCCCTGTGATGCCAGTTGACTTATAAAGACCTGAAATACCTTTTCCATGCAGTAGTCATGAAATAGTGTTTGAAGGGAACACAGTGACACATAAGAAAACACACATTGGAAGACACAGTGAACCAAACTGGTGGTTAAAAACATGACCTTCCTCCATAAGGTCAAATAGTTTTATTTTGATTAAACACTACAATACAGTATATATCCATTAAAAAAGAAAACTCTATAATGTATATAAATTATTCCTTCAATTCATCAATTCTTCTTTTCTTTTCCATTACAGCTTTGGTACAATGTGATTTAGTATATAATTTTTAAATAGTTTTAGCATCACAAACTCAACACAAAGTACAAAACTAATCCAAATTAGGGATATTGTAGTCTACACAGTGGTATTCAGTGGTAGGAGAAAATCTTACCTTGATGAATTCATGTCACTAGCTAAGCTATAAAGGCATACCTAGCAGACATGACAGAAATATGCACCATTAACCAGCTAACGTGTGTATTAGTCTTTATTTTTTACAGAATACCAGCAGCAATCATTTGAGTGTTGAGTGAATACTTAAGTCCTCAGCCTGTTCTCCCACCTTGTTCTTCTTCCATCAAAGGCCATGAGAAATATCTGAAGAAATGTACCACAGCCAGAGCTCTCAGAATTTGACCTGCCAACCGGCATTGCTCATACTTGCACAGTTTGTCCTGCAGCTAGCCGACATCACTGGGACAGTGCTGGAGGGGCAGTGTGGGCCAATCAGCCTAAGGTTGTTCTGAGGGGTGGGCGGTGTGACGTTACAGTAAACAGGCATTCCAGTGGCTGGGAGTGCCCCTTGACCTGCCTGGTTAGGTAGCATGATTGGCTGTTGGTATGACTGCTGGGGCAGTCCTTGAGAACCCTGGGTCATTGGCACCTGTAAAAAGACACAAGCAAGAATCCTGTATGAAAAGGGTATTTTGAGATGTACAATAAGCAACACGGTGTCATGATAAATATTCAACCTTTTGAGTTCCTAACAGATCATCAATTCTAGCTCTGCCATTTGTCAGCTGTTTCACATTAGGAAAGTCACTTAACCTCTCTGATTCCCTAGTCCATGGTGATAATGACATACCTACTTCAAAGTGCCATTGAAGTATTGAAGGGATGGTGTACAGTGCCTGGCACTGCCTGGAATGCAGTAGATGCTCAGAAGGTGACATCTCTGAGCTTCCTTCCATTCTCTCTTGATGACCTCCAGAAGCTAGAGCCTAGATTTTCCACTGTGGGTTTTTCTCAGTTTGAAAAGCCATGCTCCCTTTCTGGTTTTATGCAAAGTGGCCTGGAGCCTTCCATAGTAGAAAGGGCTTTTGTCCTGGGCACCTATTACACTTTCAGCCTGCAACCTTAGAAAACACTTATTGTGGAGCTTGTAGGTAGAAGTCGATGCAATGTGAATAAGAATAGTAGGGTGCAGGGCCCTAGGATATGTCCTTTAGGGTCAGAAGCACCTGGTACAGTTAAATTTAATTATTATACCATTTCACTAACTCTTCACTTCTATTCTGGGGTACATTACAAAAGAATACATTACACTTTTCAAATACTCAACTTGGGTTTGGTCCAAAGAATGGAGTTGTTAGGAACTATAAATGCCCTTTAAATGAATCTGAGATGACATATTAAAATCTCTTATAACTTAAAGTTATGGAAAAATGAAGTTTATTTGGGTGTGTACAAAAATGAATGGAAATTTGTCATGAGGACTTTCTACCAATAAACAAATGCAATAAAACTTCCAAAAGTCTGTATGAATGAAACTGTAGACTAATGCGTTTTATTCCATGAATGTGAAGTTTATATGGAAATAAACTTAGCAGGCTATTCAAATGCCACAGTAGTTACAGAAGCATGCATTTTACATTTTCTACTTTTCTGTTTAAATCTTGATTCAAAGTGAATTATCAACAGTTATGGGCCAAGCACCCACTACCCAGCCAACCACGCAAACCAGGGACATACCCACAGCTTCCACTTTGGCAAGTGCTACTTAATAACCCAAAATTTTCCAAGCTGCTTATGTGTACCTGATAAGAAGACATTGTTGGGTAGGAAACCATCACACTTTGCAGCGGAGTTCCTTGTTGGTTATTCATCACGTTCTGACTCTGAGGTGGCTGCTGCACTCCTATTAGGCCTTGGAATCCCTGCTGACCAGACAAAACTGGCTGGTAACCTGTGAAGAAAAGAGATCTTTTGAACTGGTTGTGCCAGAAAGAACACTGTGATGTTTCATGGGGTAAAAGTACTGGTTCAGGAGGCAGCCTTCAGACATCTCAATCTCCTCATTCAGAATGAGTTATCAGATGTTTATTCCCTAAGAATGCATTTTTTCTTTTTTTACTTCTAAGAGTGAACAAGATTATGGCTTCAAAAGTTCACTGACATTTCCATTGTTATGCAGAACGGTCTACTGAACACACGTGACAATGGTAAATTCTTCATGGCACAAAAACAGAAAATTCTATTGATCCCAGCTGACTACTATAAATTACACCTTTCATATTTGGCTTTTTCTTTGGTTTTGAGGATATTTGGGGAATTCACAGATTATCTATCAAGATATTTTAAAATTAAATTGACTTATTCCCTTACTATCCCCTGTTCCTGGACAATCTCTTTTCACATGTAGAGACCACCAAACAGCCTATTCATTTTGGATGAATTTTATTTTCTTTGTGTCCTAGTGAACCAAACGACTCACTACCCTGAGGAATTCACAATAACCACTGCCTTAGACAAAAAGGCAACAGCAAGGGGAAGGCATGTGATATTTTTATTCTGTTTCACCACTAGCTTCAGAGATAATTTTTTAGTAAAATACTCCAAAATGTAACCAAATATTGATACATATAATAGATAATACAGAATACAATATTCAAAAATTTATCTGTTCATGTCCTTGTGGGTGGGTTTGTTTGCTTTCTTTTTTTTTTTTCCAAGTAGGCCAGAATTTATTTATTCTAGTTATTTAAATCCTCACTTCAATGAATGGTTTAAAATGCATCCTTATAAAGGAAGCCTGTGGATTGTTCTCGTAAATGTTGGGAAGAAAGTTATGATTTGGGTGAAAATGACACAGTGGTAGAGAAATGAAGCAGATTCACTTGATGCCATATAATAAGCTCCTTCCAGAGCTCATACTATTAACCGTGTAGAGCACCTGAGAATAAATGGAACTGCTATCTTAATGCAGTTCTCTGAGAGAAAAGAATCTTTAAAGTCCTAGATTTTCTTAATTATGAACTAGGTTTCACAATCAGATTTTTAATATTGAAACCAAAAGTTAAAAAATAGCTAATCAATATGTATAATTAAATAATCTATATACTGAGTGCCTGTTAAGAGTCTTTATATTGAAGAAGGATCACATTATATTACAGTCTTTATAGAAGACAATACAAAACTATCCTTGGATATACAAAAATACATCTTCATTCAGAAATATTATGAAAACGTGGCTTTCAAACAGTCACTGAATTAGGAGATTGGCTCAGTTCATCAAATGAGCTAGAAGCAAGGTGTCCTTAGTTTGGAGAACCAGAGAGCAAGCTTGGAAAAAGGCCAGTTTGGAGGTCTGGCCTATGCCTGCAATTGGCGAGTGGAACCAGTGTGTAATCTAAAAAGCTACGCTTTGACTTTCCTTATGTGTCTCATTGTTTTACATTCTTATTACCGTAAATCATAGTGGTTTCAATTTATTGAATTATTTTAAATTCTTTAAAGACACCACATATTATGAATATAATTAAGGGTAATGGCCACATTTCCCTGAGCTATATTCTGCCCACAGTTGATAGTCAGAACCTTCCTTTAATATGCTTGGCAGGTCTATTTAAGACTAACAAGGGCCAGGTGCGGTGACTCACGCCTGTAATCCCAGCACTTTGGGAGGCTGAGGTGGGTGGATCACGAGGTCAAGAGATCGAGACCATCCTGGCCAACATGGTGAAACTCCGTCTCTACTAAAAATACAAAAAAAAAAAAAAAAAAAATTAGCCGGGCGTTGTGGCGTGCGCCTGTGGTCCCAGATACTCAGGAGGCTGAGACAGGAGAATTGCTTGAACCCAGGAGGTGGAGGTTGCAGTGAGCCGAGATCGCGCCACTGCACTCCAGCCTGGTGCCTGGCGACAGAGCAAGACTCTGTCTCAAAAAAACAAAAAAAGACTAACAAGATAAGCTCAGAATTCTGATACCTACAGTGTTTGAGGTTTATACGATAAGGAAAAACCATCAGACCTGGGAACAAGAAATGCGATGAAGCCTATATTACCATTTTCACTACTTCTACTTCTCTGGTCTCATTTGCAGACACTACTTGAGAGAAAATTCTTTTCACATTAATTTCAGAAAATAGATCTTGATTGTTTTTCATTGGCTAGGTCTTCCATTGTGATTCATATATCCAATTGCCCTGAAAACTTCTGTGGCTATTTTATCATTTTATTATGACATTATTCCAAACCACATCAAGCTCTTTGTGCCATAAATTATTATAAACATAATAAAATAACTTGGGATGATCATAGAAAACCTATGACAAAAGAACTTCCCTCTGATTTACTTCTACAACAAAGAGTAGGCAGTGTAAACTCACTCTCAAGTCCGTTTAATTGTGAATATAAAAGGCCTTACTTCTGGCTGAATATTGAAAGCACAAGTTGAAAATGAGAGAAGTGCCATTTGATACTTTGGATTATATCTGTTCATACACTGAAAGGCTATTTGGCCTCAATGGAGCTTTGCAGAATATATACAGCTACAATGTAAACAAACTAATAACAAAAAGAAGAGGAAAGGAGGGAAGGAGAAGAGGGAAGTGAGGGAAGGAGGAGCGGGTCACTTAGTGTCTGCAGATTATTTGTGTATTTCCTTATTGAACCCTTCCATCCTTTCACAGAGGCATCTGTTTAAAAATAAATTCGGTGGCCTGTAAGAGATTCATTTAATACACCATCGTCTAAACCAAAATTGTGTGAAGGGAAAATAACAGACCTGTTAAGATATTCAGAAAGCAGAATGTCTTGGTTGGAAGAGGAAGCAATCCTTAATAACAAATAATATTTAAGGAGAGAAAAAGAGTGGGCAGGCTGGATTGCCTCATCCCAGGAAGGGTGCAGAGCCTGTGAAAGCAGGATTCATCTTTGCTGCCAGCCCAAATGCAGCTGCCCTGCCACAGCCTCCCCTTCTCCTGACCTCCTCTGCCTGATGATTTGTGAACTTTAATATTCAGTTATGCATAGCAATGGGCTACCAGCGCTACACTGGGGTTCCCATGGTAAACACACTTACGGCAAATAAGGATTTATGTGGGGAGTGAATACCATTTCAAAATGAAAACTTTAATGTAAGGAGAGCCCAATTTATATTCATGAATCCCATCCATTTCTCAATTCTCTCTCCAGGCAAGAGATTTACACCTGCAATGGTTTAATTGGGGGGGACTCATTTCTTTAAATTACGTCACAGAAGGTAGATAGCAGAATAGTCTTTAAGACGGGCAGCTGTCTGGATGTGAATCTGAGTTCTGGTTCAGAAATAGACAAATAGAAATAAAATAGCAGTGACCTACGAATGAACCGACAGTGTCTGCCTGGAACACAACACACCCGAAGGCAGAAATGGCAGCACTGGTGGGAACTGCTGATCTTGTCTATTCAAATGAGAAATGTGTTCCAGTTTGTCAATTCTTAGCTGTGAAATGATCACTTTTTCATATTTATTGAGGATTAGCAAGATATAATGCATCTTACAAAACGGAAGCAGCAACAGTATCTGCCCCGTAGGCTTGCTACAGAGTTGATAAAGACATTAGCTATTTTTATTATTTCTTTTTCAGTCAAGATCGATTCAATTTTCAAGTCACATGTGTCATTTATTTTCTGGAGGTAAAAAGGTTAGGAAATGGACAAATGCCTCCCAGCAAATAAAAGAACGCACTTGGCAAAGGCCGAGGAGTTTATAAGGTTTAAAATGTCTGCATTGTATAGATCTGAAAACGGAATATGTTTTCGACTAAAATGCAACAGTTGTATACTATTTGTAGTTTGAGGGTATTCCGTTAATATTCAGTCAAGAAAACATTTATCTTCATGTGGCACAATTATGAACAATTAGAATGTAAATTGATTAGGGATTGTAGAATCGCATGGCTGTGAGTAATATTATTTTAACTCTTATTTGAGTAGTTTGTTACAGTTTCAATATTTTGGAAATAAATGAAAAGACAGACAAAATAGTAATCTCTATTTCTGCATTTCTATTATTCTGCTGTTAGTTATGGAGGTTGAAACAGGGAAGGGAGTAGTGAAAAGAACAAATTTCTACACTGAGCATGTTTCTTCAGAAGCTGGCCAATTCTCACAGCCTCTCCCAATCCACCCAAGCAGTGTGATATACATGTGTTTATTAAGGGAAGTAATCTTAATATGGTAGAATGTCTTTTCAAATGATTAGAATTAGCAAGCTGTTTCATATAAAAAATATAAAAATTCTCTTGGAGACAAGATATTAATATTTCTCCAAATTTCACAGGAACCATCAAAAGCCTAGATTCTGAATCAAACTCTGCTTTTGTACATGGTGTGAGGTAGAACTACAGTAGCTTAGCTTACTGGTATAGCTGGTAAATAATATGTAGAAGAAAACTGCTTATCCAGAAAAGCCCTGTCCTTTAGCTAAAGTTTTACAGTTTGTGTATTTTGCCACTTTACAGCATCTGCCTGGTTCTTTGTCTTGGCTTTCTATCAATTTTCTGTACTTTATCTTCTTTGAGGATTTTCCATTATAAACTAGCTATATTTGTTGATCACTTACTCTAAGCCAAGCAGCGAATTAAGCTCTTGTTACAACAATCCTAGGAGGCAGCCAATATTACTAAACTCCGTTTGCAGAAGAGAAAGCTGACTTAGGAGGATATAGCAACTTGTCAAGGTCACACAGTTACTATGAGGAAGTGCAGCTGAAATTTAAGTTGTGGTTTTCTGACTTTGGCATCCTGGCTTTTGTGTGCTAAATTGTAGTACCATTTATTTATACATTCTTCTAGCTCTCATATTCCTCACATAATCCTTTTTATGTGGCAAGTATTCAATGACTGTGTATTACACTAATTGTTTTCTCAATAGTTCAAACAAGTAAAAACAGGTAGAAATTATGCTCCACAGTTTGTTAAAC